GTTGAGGAGGGCACGGCGCAGGGTGATACATCATCCACGCCAGCTTTCTCGCGAGGCCTGCGGCTATGCCTGCAGTCTGCTGGCGCCCGCCTGGCGGCCAAGCAGATCTGGGTCCACATCCCCAGCCTGGTGGACGACATGCTGCTCGTTACGGAGCCGGCGCATGTCGACGAGGCCCTCGGCATCCTCGAGGACGACCTGGCCCGCATCAACCTCAAGCTCAACCTCTCCAAGAGTGCAGCTTACATCCCCGAGCGCAGTGAGAAGGGGCTCGGACCTGACCCGGCCATCACAAAACTCCAACAGCTGGAGGGCGGCTTGCCTGCTCTGGGCAGCGCCTATGGTGGCGAGTTCGAGACCGTATTGGGCCCCTTCTCAGTGGCGGCGGAGCCGGCGCGACGGCGGCTTGAAGCAGCGCGCCGCTTGGCCAGGGAATGCGCTCGCTTCCGCGGCGAAGGCCGCGAGGAGGCGACGTGGCAGGCGGCATGGCATGTCCTACGCAAGGTGGTGTCGAAAGCCCTTGTGTATGACGTCCGCACCCTGGAGCCTGAGGCCAGCCTGCCGCTGGCGGAAGAGCTGGACAGCATCGTCGGTGACGCCGCCCGGACACTGCTGGGCGTGCAAGCCCACGACGGGTGGACGGAAGATTCGCCCCATCAGCTGCAGTGGTCGCCGGAGCTCGGCGGCATGGACTACGGTTCTGCGACCTTGGGGGCGAGGGTGGGCAGGTTGGCCGCGCTCGGGCACTGCTTGCCGGTTGCGCGGCAGCACCTGCGGGCATTGCTGCCTGAGGCCACCGAGGAGGAGATCCTGAACGCCATCCCACTCGCTGGGGCCGAACGCATGCAGGAGTGGCTGAAAGCGACGCATGGCATTGAGCTCAGCGTTTCCGGCACGATCGCCCGGGAGTCAGAGCCACGCTGGGGCCTCAAGTCACACTTCGAGCCCATCCGGGGGCTGTACAGCACGGTGTCCAGGGCGGTGCAGGAGGCGCAGAGGGCGGACATGCTCGCCAGGCACGCGCAGGCAGCGGAGCCCTGCAAGCAGGAGGCCAAGAGAGCTGCCCGGCGCGACCCGGCCGAAAGCGAACGCCTCAAGGGGCAGGCGGAGGCGCACCTGCGCCACTGCGTCCGCCTGCCTTCGACGGCGGGCACAGGGGCGCACGACTGGGTCGCCCATTGCCCGAGCGACCGCCCCCTCCAGCTGAACGACGACGAGTTCCAGTTCGGGGTGCGCTGGCGGCTTGGCCTGCCGGTGATGCGCGAGACCACTTGCCAGCACAAACCCTGCAGGAAGAGGGACGAGGAGGCAGCGCGATGCGGCAAGCTCTGCGACCGGTTCGGCGACCACGCGCAGCTTTGCGGAGTCGGGAAGGGTCGCTACCGAGTGCACAATGCAGTGTGCGCATGCGTGCGCCGCTTTGCGGCCCAAAGCGGCGTTGAGGCCGAGGCGGAGGAGGTCTGCCCGCCGCTCCTGCAGGGCGAGCCTGGGGCAGATGACGCGGTGGAGGCCCGGCTGGACGTCCACCTCTGGGGGCGCGGCCCAGAGCTCCTTGAAGCTTGGGTGGACGTCACCGTGACGAACCCCTTCAGGCTCGAGAAGAGGCGCCAGGCAGCGGACCTCGACGCCGTCGCGGTAGAGGCCGCGGAGGACGCCAAGTTCAAGAGGTATGGCGAGGGCCGGGGAGGCGTAAAGTGCTCCCCATTCGGCCTCGAAGCGTTCGGCCGCCTAGGCCGGCACGCCCTCGCAGTCCTCGAGAATTTGGCACTCCAGCGGGCTGCGCGGACGGCGGGGCAGCCGGCGCGCTTTCTCCGGAGATGGCGCGCGGAGCTGGGAGTCGCGATGGTCCGGGCGCTCGCGGAGACCGCGGCGTCCGCGTGCCGAGAGCTCGACGAGCAGCAGGAGTACGCGGAACACGGGAGGCAGTGAGACGCAGATGCGCATATGAGTTCGTATAGTTTTGTTGATTTCCCTCCAGCGAGTCGCAAGCAGCAGCAGCAGCAGCAGCAGCAGCAGCATCTACAGCAGCAGCAGGAAGAGGAGGAGGAGGATGAGGAGGAGGAGGAAGAAGAGGAGGAGGAAGAGGAGGAGCACGCGGCATATAATCAGGCGGACGGCTCCCTCCGAAGGCTGGCGCGCGACGGGGAACACGAGCCCCGCGCAGCGCCATCGGCCCTACGGATCGCAGGCCCCGACGCACGGCACGGCTGCGGCCTCGCAGCGGCCCAGTGGCGGCGCCGGACGGCAGGTCCACCAGCTCGATCGGCACCGCGTCGGGCGCTGCCACGCTCGGCAGGAGCCTGCGATCGAGCTTGGAGAGGACGCACCTGCCCTTGGCCGGCGCGACCAGCACGCACGGGCGGCGGAACCCATCCGCCTTCAGCGCTGCGGTCGCGCCGCACACCAGGCAGACCACCTGCGGCATCTCGCGCTTGAGGCTGCCCGCCCGCTGCACGTGGATCTCCGCCAGCGTGTGGGCCTCGCCACTGGCCAGGTGCTCGCGGTTGACGTCCAGCAACCTCGAAACCGCACTGCCATTGCATTCCTCGGCTTTTGGCCGCAGCAGCCTGCACCTCGCGCACCAGGGCCCGCCTGCGCCCTCGCGAAGGTCGTGGCGCAGACAAGCCCGCGGCGCAGGCGGCTCCTTCACCACAGGCCGCTGCGGCTTGGCCTTGCGGTGCGTGGTGTCCTTGCCCTGCATCCAGGCCCCCACCGCGCTGCGCCACATAGCCACCCCGTCGACCAGGTCACGCGACTGCTGGAGCTTGCGCCGAGGCCCGACTGGCACGCGGCCGGAGGCGGCAGCTGACTTGGCCGCCGCATCCGCAAATCGAAGGCCGCGCCAATCGACGAGGCTGATCTTGCCCGACTTCACGTCACGAGCGTTGCAGTGCGACTTCGCCCAGCGCGCTCGCAACCCCTGCTCGCCGACGCCCCCGTAGTCGTCCAGTAAGCCCGGCAGCGCGCGCCACAGGTGAGCCCACGCGCAACAGTGCCTGGTGGTGGCTTCTCTTCCCAGTTCCATGACCCCTGGGAACGCAAAATGAGAGTCCATCGCCGCCTCCGTCAGAGGCAGGCTGTGACGAAAGAGCATGATCAGCGCCATCAGTTCGCCGCCATTGATGTCCACGAACGGTTCTCAGAGCATCCCCGAGATCGACATGAGGTACTGGCCAGTGCCAGGCCGCAGCGCCACCACGCCCCAGCCCACGCTCTCGTAGCCGTCGAACTCCGCCTCGAGTGGAGACCCGTCGAGGTAGGCGCTCCCCGACGGCACGATGCCCTCGTGTTCGCCCTTCCAGCAGACGTCCGCGAGCCTGGCGGGGGGGCTCGACGCCCATCGGGGCGGGCCACAGGCAGCGTTCCAGCAGGAGCTTTATCTCCTCCAGGTCCGCGCGCCTCCGCAATGCCTGGACCCTCGCAGGCAGCGCCAGCGTGTCCTGCCAGCCCTCGCATTCGCAGTGCCTGTGCAGCAGCGTACCGCGAGCAGGGCACAGGATGCAGACGTCGGAGTCGGCCATGCCCGCGCCAGCCGTCCGCGCTTGCGGCCAGTGACCGTTGGTGACCGCGGGGACGTGTCGAACACCTTCAGTTCCGCGCCATCTTGAGTCCTCCACGTGCACTCGTCCAGCACCTCCCAGCCTGCGCGGCGCAGAGTGACCGCGCAGGCCAAGAGCGGGCCCTGCGCGTGCGTCCAGGTCGCGGCGCGCCCTCCGCCCTCCGCAGATGCAGAAGTTCCCCAATGTGCAGTGGGACCCATCCTGCCCATTTCGCTCGCAGCAGCATCAGGATGGGCATCAGCGTGGCACGATGCGTCGGATCGAGCTCGCGGTGCAGCGTGAGCGACAACGCGCGGAACCTGCCCGCCGTGCTGGCCGATGCCGCAGCGAAGACGGTGGAGCGCAGCTTGTCCAGCTCGCCCTGCGCGCAGCCCGTGACCCCGAAGCCGTAGGAAACGCTCGACTCCAGACCCGCGCGCGCCACTTTGCGCGCCGCGGCCTTGCGGCCCTTGCCCGTCTTGACGATCTGGGCGCGCCGCAGCATCTGCTTGGCCTGCCTGCTTGTCGGCGCGCACGGCACGCGCGATGCGCTTGCCTTAGGAGTAGTCGACGCCGAGGTTGCGCTCCCTCGCCACCGCGGCCACGCCAAGCGGCCGCCCCAAACGCTGCTGCAGTGCCTCGCGAGCCTCGGCCTCGTTGGCGAGCGCCCTCGACTTCTTGACCCTCACTTGCAGGTCGTGCTGCTCCAGCGGCAGCTTCAACCGGAAGGCCGCGTCCGCGACCTCGCGCACGGCGCGCTGCCGGCCGCCCGCGCGACGAAGCATGAGGTCGTTAGCCACCGCCGCCAGCGACGCGGACGGACCCTTGTGCAGCTCATTCAGCGGCGCCAGCAGCATCATCTTGAGGAACAGCGTGGCCCACCCACTACCAGGCAGGGTGGCCTGTTCGACGCTGATTTCGACAGACACCGCCTCGCCAATATCAGGCCTGCGCGGCGCACAGTAGAGCTCGATCTGCAGCTTGAGCTGCCGCAGCGGAAAGCCAGTCCTGATGGCCGTATCGACCAGCCAGTGGTGCCGCACCTGCTCGAACGCCTTGCGCAAGTCCAGCAATGTGGCAACCGCAGCCCAGGCAGCAGGATCGTCGGCAGCGCGACCCGTGGCGGTGGCCCACTCGCTCTCCACAGCTTGGTGCCACACGGCGGATTCACAGTCGCGGCTCTGCGTCGCCCAGAACCAGGGCTTGTCGTTGCGGCGCTCCCAGTCGACGGCCAGTGGTCGCCGCGTGCGCGCCTGCACGCGCGCCATCGCCACGATGGCGATCGGCCGCGCTCCGCCCAGCCGCTTCTCGAGGAAGCCGATCTTGGTGGTGAGGGTCGGCCAGCCCGCATCCCGATCGACCGCCATGAGTATGTCGAGGAATGCCTCCAGCGCGTCGTCGCACAGCTCAAGCAACTGCCTCGGCTTGATGGCGTCAAACGTTGTACCTGAGCCGACCTTGAAGGTCTCGAGGCAAGCGCGGAGCTCGCCCGCCGTGGACCGCGGCGGGCGGGGTCCGAGGTCCTCGGGCCAGACCAGCACCATCTGGTTGCACTCGACGCGCCACCGCCGCTTCCACTCCTCGGCGAGCTGCGCGACCTCGGCGCCGAGTTCGCAGGGCCGCGCAGACCCGGGGTAGGAGGCCCCTCCGACCCCGCGTTTGCTGGGGCCCGCTGGCGCCGGCAGAGCCGACCAGGCCGGCGGCGAAGTCGGGGCTCTCATGCCAGCCAGCAGAGGTGCGCGCGATGGCGTGGAGGCCGACCGCGCCGCCCTTGGCCCGCGCCTCCACCGACTCGTCAAAGGCCGTGCCGCGCTCATCCAGGTCGCGCTGCGCGAGCTCCTGTGAGTCTGAGGTCGCCTGGGCAACCAACCGCTCGAGATCGGGCAGGCCCAGCTGCGCCACGTTGGCCCAGGACAGGAGCCTCCACCACCTACCTGCAGCGCGGTCCAGCGAGGCGACCAACGGCGAGCCGCCCAGCGGCTGAGCGCGGCACTCGTCAGCCTCCTGGAGCCGCCCACGAACACGACGAGGCACGCGACGAAGCAGCGACGGCAGGCTCCTGAGCGCTTGCGCGCGCCCGATAGGCCGATCAGCGATGCGCGCCGACCTCAGGGCGCCAGCAATCCTCGCCATCCAGGCCGCTTCAGCAGGAATGCGCGGTGACTAAGCCCCCCGCACCTGCGCGCGCTGCGCCCACTTGGCCTCGGCGCGTTCCGTGCGCCCCAGGCGCCTGCCCGCGACGTCCTGCATGCAGCTGGTGCAAGTCGACGCGCTCCAGCTCGGCCTGCTGGAAGAGCAGCCTCCGCGCGCCCGTCGAGTCCGCGCGACGCCCAGCCGGCGCCATAACCTGGGCCAGTGGGGCTGCAGCCGAGGGTTGGGAAATCTGGCGGGGCGCGCAGAAGGCGCTCCCCGCCGCCGGGGGCGCGCCCAGCTGGCGCGCGTCGCCGCGCGGCCCGCCCGGCGCAGCACTGGCCCCATGCTCAAGGCAGACGGCGACCTGTGCCGCAGTGGACTGCCAGGCGACGGCAGGGTCGCACGCGCGACACCCCAGCGGCCGCGCCGTGGGAAAGACCCGAGGTACCTGGACCACGCGAAACCACGGACGAGCGGTCTGCAGCGCGACTCGCAGCACCACGGGGTGGCGCGGATGCGCGGGCGAGCGCCCCCAAGCTCTGTGCGTCCAGCGCCTTCGGCTCCAGGAAGAAATCGATGACCCGCCCAGAAGCCGCGAATGTGGCCTGGGCAGGCCGCGCCAGCCGCGCGTCGAAGTACCGCAAGACGCCGCTCTGGTTCACCTCATCCTCCGTCAAGTTGATGTCGCCGCCGACCACGTAGGGCTTCCTGCACTGCTTGAGCCGCCTCGCGAGCAGCATCAACGCCGTGAAGTTGCTGGCGTTCATGCCGACACCCGACTCCAGGTATACGTTCACCAGCAGCACCCCGCCAGGGCAGATGCCCGAGTGGCAAGAGATGTGCGCGCGCCCTGGCACGACCACGGCGGGCTGCTGGTCGCGGAGCTCCTCCAGGCCATGGTCCGACCTCACCATGGTGAGCAGGCTCCCAGTGGCAAGCCCTCCCGCCGCGGAGGGAACGGTGGCCATGCAGCGGCCGCGCCGCCCGCGCGTGCGAAGCTGACCCTCAGTGTCAGTGCCGCTCTCGGGGGACAGATGCGTCTCCTGGAACATCGCGGCGTCGCACTCCTTGATGTCCTTCACCGGCGGGCACTTGTCGAGGTTTGAGTGGGAGTTGTAGTTGAGGATGTAGATGGAGCAGGCCCCGAGGGCGTTAAACGCGCTGCCTCTTGGCCCGCTCCTCGCTCGGCTTCGCCGCGCACTGCGCCTGGAACTCCTCGGCCCACTTGCGCTTCTCGGCGTCGTCGCCCCCGAAATCCCCCGAGAAAGCCTCCCGCCAGTCAGCGCTGGCGTCGTCCAGGTGCATGGCGGCATCATCTGCGCCCTCGGCAGCAACATCTGCACCTCCACCCCCAGCGCCGCCAGCTGTGGTTTCCGCCTCAACCGCATTTGTCTTGGTGGCGCCAGCGGCGCCAGCATCGGCGCCAGCGGCGGCGCAAACGGTGGCGCCTTCACCAGCGGCGGCGCCATCGGCGGCGCCAGCGGTGTGGCGCCTGCGGCGACGCCTGCGGCGGCGCCGGCATCCCCATTCTTGGCGTTACCAGCGGCGGCGCCAGGGCTACGGCGCGGCCAGCTGCTCCAGCGTGGCTGCCGCAGCGGCCGCCGAGATCTTGCTCGGCAGCGCGACCAGAGGCGCGCGAGCCGAGCCCAGCTCCACCCTCGCGAGCGACCCGGTGGCGTCGGCGGCCAGCGAGGCCAGCTTGCCGAGGCCAACCTGCATCGCCACCGGCGGCGCCGCGACGGCCTCGGTCTCGACAGTCTCCTCGAGCGCTGCCTTGGCCTTCGACACCGCCACGTCCAACTCCTTGCGAAAGAGCATCACGCGCGGCTCCTGCTCGCGGGCCGCCTGTATAGCGTTGAGCGCAGCCTCCTTCTTCTTGAACATCAGGTCCGTAGCCTTGTCCAACTGCCGGGGCTTCTCGTCGGCGAGCACCTGCGCGGTCTTGACGGCTTTGACCCCGCCGAGCTCGCTCAAGATCGCCTTGGCCAAGAAGCGCGCCTGGCAGGTCCCCTCACGATCCACAGGCGCGATGTACTTGACCGCGGCCTCGTACTCCGCGTCCCCCCCCCTTGAGGATGACCCCGCGATCCTCATCGGAGACCCGGGGCTTGGCGGCAACTCTGGCAGCAGACGAGCCCCCGCCGCGTCCGCCGCCTTTGCCACTTGAAGCAGCCTCATGCGCCGCAATTCCAGCCGTCGCCGGCACGCCAGAGAGCGCCGCCGCCGCCGCCGCGCGGAGGAGGCGCCATGCATCCCGCTGAGAAGCGGCTGCGGCTCGATGCGCTGGCACCGAGCTCCAGACCCGGGGCGGACCAGACAGGACCAGGCGGAAAACGTTCGAGGACTCTGCACGGCTTGGTGCAATCCACTCTGCCTGGAGGCTGAACAGCCCTCCGGTAAAACATCTTGAGCCAAAATGGTTAGGGAGAGGAGGAGGAGGAGGAGGAGGAGGAGGAGGAGGAGGAGGAGGAGGAGGAGGAGGAGGAGGAGGAGAGAAGAAGGAAGAGGAGGAGGAGGGAGAAGGAGGAGGAGGAGGAGGAGGAGGAGGTGGAGAAAAAAGAGGAGGAGAAACGGTGGAGGAGGAGGAACAGGAGGAGGCGGAGGCGGAGGGAGGCGGAGGCGGAAGGCGGAGGCGGAGGCGGAGGCGGAGGCGGAGGCGGATGAGGGGGGCGGAGGAGAGGAGGAGGCGGAGGCGGATGGAGGAGGAGGAGGAGGGAGGAGGAGGAGTGGAGGAGGAGGAGAGGAGGAGGAGGAAGAGGAGGGAGGAGGAGGAAGAGGAGGAGGCGGAGGCGGGGTGGAGGCGGGCGGGCGGAGGCGGAGGCGGAGGCGGAGGCGGAGGCGGAGGCGGAGGCGGAGGCGGAGGAGGAGGAGGAGCGGAGGCGGAGGAGGGAGTGAGGAGGAGGAGGAGGAGGGAGGAGGAGGAGGAGGAGGAGGAGGAGGACGAGGAGGAGGAGGGAGGAGGAGGAGGGAGGAGGAGAGGAACGAATCGACTTTTTCCACGTGTCGCCGGGGTCTGCAGGCCTCCGTTGCGCAGAACCAGCCTGCCGCCCTCTCGCCCGGCCTACCCTGGAGGGGAACTGGGGGGCTGCACGCAAGGGGTAGCCCCTCGCCGGAGTCCCATACAGGAGCGCATCGTAACAAATCTCTGGGCCATCCTAGATGGGGTCGGAGCAGATGGGGTCGGAGGATCGCGCCGCATCGCCGATGCATCGCTGATGCATGGCCGATGCGGCTCGATGTGGAGCCCGAGTTACTCCACGTCGACGTGGCCGATGTATCATCGTTCACGTCGACGATGCATCGCTGGTGCATCGCCGATGCATCGCCGATGCATCGCCGCTGCATCGCCAATGTCTGGGGTGGTCCTTGATCCCAGACCCCTGGCGTCGTGGGTTTCTCAAAAGGTCGACCCCAGAGGTCCGGACCCCTTCCCCGGGATCGGTATTTCAGCCCGAGTTGTTTTTTGACCGTCCCGAGGCCAACAGCGAGAAACCTCCCGTCGTGATTTTTTTTCGCAGCGCAGAGGGTCTGGGGTGCGCGCCTTCCCGGGGGTGTAGGAGGGTTGGAGCCGGCTGGGGGGCGGATGTGCCCCCGCATTGGTTCCGGCCCGTAGAAATCGGGGGATGAGGAGGATGAGGAGGAGGAGGAGGAGGAGGAGGAGGAGGAGGAGGAGGAGGAGGAGGAGGAGGAGGAGGAGGAGGAGGGGGAGGAGGTGCAGGAGGAGGAGGGGGAGGAGGGGGAGGAGGAGGAGGAATTGGAATTTTAATTGACCCCTTCGCGATGCGAAATGCTGAAAAAAAACAGCGCGCACGAGCAGGAGACGCTCGAGTGCGCGGCCACATCGTTCACCTAAGACTGAGAGCAGTCTGTCGCGATGACAGCCCCAAACCTCCGAGCTGCCAGGAAAAAAGAGCTGAGCGTTCACCCTACAGCAATGCAAGGCCGCAGGCGAGTCCCTCCGCACGGTTCACTCAGATAACGACACCCCCCCAGGTGCCGACCCAAGCCTCCGCCTGCCTGTGCAGGTCGGGACCCTGGAACTCCCTCGGCCGCACAGGCGGGTCACCTGGCGCGAGACTTACTGGAGCCCAGAACCACCCCCGCAGGTCCCCTTGCCCAAGGGGGACCAGGTGGCACGCATCCGTGAGCCTCCCCCGACCACTCTGTGGTGCGAGGTGGCCCAAGTGCTGAGACTGGCCCTGGGGCGGACAGGGCCCCAGGCGTTTAGCGAACAGCACCCACCACCACCCGCCAGTGGGTGTTTTTTTCGCGGAAGGTGAGGCCGTGCCTTGAGGGTCACGCTGCCCCACCTGGCCCGAGCGGCCAAGCGGGACAGCCCGACACCCCAGGACCCGACCCTACCCGCCGCGGCGCCCCGAAGGACGACTGAGCGGAGGAGGAGTAGGAGGAGGAGGAGGAGGAGGAGGAGGAGGAGGAGGAGGAGGAGGAGGAGGGCCAGGAGGAGGAGGAGGAGTGGGGAGGGAGGAGGAGAGGAGAGGAGGAGGGGAGCGGAGGAGGAGGAGGAGGAGGAGGAGAGGGAGGAGGAGGAGGAGGAGGAGGAGGAGGAGGAGGAGGAGGAGGAGGAGGAGGAGGAGGAGGAGGAGGAGGAGGAGGAGGAGAGAGGAGGAGGAGGAGGAGGAGGAGGAGGAGGAGGAGGAGGAAGGGGCTCCCCGCGTCGCCACGGCCAGGCGCGGGTCGAAAAACGGGTCGGCCTCGACCCCGGGAGGGGCCCAGGGATTGCTTTTGAGCGGATCTGCCCTCCCCCCGTCCCCCCCAAGACATGATCGCGTCGTGAAAAAATCAGGGCGGGAGGTTTTCGGCCGTTTTCGGCTTGGGGGGGCCCTCGCCGGGCCTCGGGGCCGTCAAAAAACGACTCAGGATGAAAAACCGTTCCTGGGGAAAAAGTCGGAGCTTCCTGGTACCCCGTATTGAAAAAATCAGGACGTCGCATGTCTGGGCCCTGGATCCATTGCGAAGGCCTTACTGCGGGCGCCGCCGACTCTGAAGGGGAACGACGACAAACGGCGGTGGCGGCGACGACGATGCTGACGTGGGTCAGAGTCCTCATGGACGCTTCTTGGGGCCTCTTCGAAGCGCTCTCGGGGGCCTCTGGAGGACAGTTTAGGGGCCTCTTGGGAGCCTCTTGGGGGCCTCTTGGGAGCCTCGTGAGGGCCTCTCGGGCCTTCTGGGGGCCTCTTGGGGGCCTCCTTGGGGTCTCTTGGGGGCCTCTTGGGGGCCTCTTGGTTCCTCCTGGGAGCCTCTCGGGGCCGAGGGCTCGAAATGTCCGTTCTGGTCCTTGGTCTGGGCCCTGTTGGGCCGTCTTGGAGGCGTCTTGGGCCGTCTTGGGGCCCTCTTGGGCCGTTTCGGGTCCCTCCTGGAGCCCTCTTGGGCCGCCTTGGGGCGATCTCGGGGGGGCCTGTTGGGCCGTCTTGGAACGTCGGGAAGCAGAAGAAGCGAGAACGCCGAAATGCTTCAAACATCAAAGGGGAATCTATGGTTTTTCCCCTTGGGGCCTTCTTGGGAGTGCTCCTGGAGGCCTCTTGGGCCGTCTGGAGGCCGTCAAGGCGTCTTGGACAGATCGTTCGGCGATTCTTGGACCGTCTTAGGGGGCCTCTTGGGACACTCTTGGCCCGTCTTGAGTTTTTTGGGGGCCCGGGGGCTCCCCGGGGGGGGAGTTGTATCTGACCTAGGATCCCTCCCAGACCCCCCCCCCCTCCCGGCTGGGGAGGGATCAAAGGGAAGGGGCTTCCCTTCGAGTTAATTGCGAAGTTGCTCAATTTCTCTTCGGCTGGCGCGCTTGGGGAGGAGGGCCTCGGGAAGGGCGCGGGGGAGCGGCGACGGGGCAGCGATTGAGGAGGAAGGCTCAGGGAAAGGGGGGGGTGCAGCGGCGACGGGCCCAGAGAAAGGGGGGCCGCAGGGAGAGGGGATGACAGAGACGATGACGAACGAATGACGGAGACGACGACTCGAACGGACAAGCCACTCACGCACGCCTCCCCCCCCCCTTGACCGATTTTCTCTGGGCCCGTCCAGCGCGGACTCCCCAGCCGCTTCCAGCGGGGAGGACCGGGTCCACTGGCGGCGCGCAGAGGGGGGCATAGGCGGAGTGGGGGAAGGCTTCTCGGAAGCAGGCTGCTTCTCGGAAGGCGTCGGCGTTGCCTCTTCAGACGGGGCCCACGCCCCTCGAAGAAGCAGGGGGGCGCCTCCAAGAGGCCTCCCCCCCTCCCCCTCTCTGCCCCCCCCCCTCTGCGCGCGGCCGCGTCCAGGCACGCGGGCCGCTGCCGTCCCACCGCGCGCCGAGAACGCCGGCAGGTCTAAGCACCCTGCGAGGCCCCTCGCTCTGCCCGGGGGGGCCGCCTCCCTGCGCGCAGCCGGCACGGCGGGCCGCTCCGTCGAGGAGGAGCGCGCGCTCGCTCGTTCTGGCAGCCGCGCAGCTGCGCGCGCGGAGGGCGCGGCGGGTGGCCGACGCGGCCGAACAGGGCCCGCTGCGGGGGCCAGAGCGCACGCGTTTTTTTTTTTGTTGTTCTGCCACGCGCAGAAAGGGGGGGTCATGGGGGGGAGGGGGGAGGGCTTCCTGGAAGCACCCCTGCTTCTCGTGGAAGACGCGGGCCCTGTCCGAAGGCGTGAGGCCCGCGCCTTCTGAGAAGCAGCCTGCTTCTGAGAAGCCTTCCCCCCTCCGCCTATACCCTCCTCTGCGCGCCGGCAGTGTATGACAATGTTCAGGTGGATGCGGCTGGTTACTACGTGCTGTCGGCGCCGCGCCGAGAGGCGACCAGGGCCACCAGGGGGCGGCCTCTCCTGAGAAGGCAGGCCCCCCCCCCCCGATAGGACACGCTATTTGTGCGATTACAGCCAGATGTGTCTGTCGGCTTTTTGCCTACATGTGCCGTTTGTTGCACACGTTCGCATCGTATGTTGAGATAACGAGCGCTAGACTGACACATTGATTCCTGCAGAGGCAAGCTTGAAACATTCCTTCAAGTGGTGTGAGACCTCCACGGCGCTCCACGGCAGCAATTGCCAATGTGCAAATCCCAACAAGTCACATCAACTTGTATTACATTTGCAAATGATTTCGACTGTAAGGGATCTCCAGAGGCAGCGCAGTGGGGCCACGGAAGCTTACCAGGAAAACAGGGAACACATGATAGGCATGAAACAGCGTATGTTTACAGGAAAGATTCGGACAACTGAGGACATCTGTGACTGACGTTTTTTTTTCTGCTGGCGCAACACGTACAAATTCTGTCAGCCACAGGTGTTTCCACGTGTTCTTGTATTTCTCCCTGTGAAGCAAAGGCTTCTTTTTATGTGTTTCTTGCTTGTTGGTTTTCTGGTAAGTTTCCGAGGCCCACGGCGCCCCCATCAGGATTCCTCACACTAGAGATCACTTTGAAAGCCCTACAGCAAATCGATTCGAAAATCCCCATCATCAAATTCAACATGTAAATCCCAACACTTAAAATCATAGTGTTATCCATTTGCACATTGATTTTGATTGCAAGGGATTTCCAGAAGCACTGTCTTGGGGCCGCGGAAGCTTACCAGGAAGACATGAAACAAACATGACAACAGGTAACAGTCTGTGTTTGTTTACAGGGGAATGTAGCAACAAAAACTGAGGCACACCTGTGACTGTTGATGTGCCGATTTGTGTGGTGCAACATCTGAAATCACTTGCTGTCACGTGTTTTCCCCAGCTATTCCTCTTGTCCATGTTTAGACACACGCCTTCTCCTGTCTGTTCTGTTTCTTCTGTCTCGTGGCACCTCCGCCTCCCTCCTCGGCCCTCCGTCCGCTCTCCCTGCGAGTGGCTCCTCTTGGCCTCGCCCCGCGAAGCGGCGAGGGGGCGGGCCACGCAGTTCGCCTGATCTTGCAAGACCGCTCTCCTCCTCCTCCTTCTTCTCCTCCTTCTCCTCCTCCTCCTCCTCCTCCTCCTCCTTCTCTCCTCCTCCTCCTCCTCCTCCTCCTCTCCTCCTCCTCCTCTCCTCTCCTCCTCCTCCTCCCCCTGCTGCTCGTCCTCCTCCTCCTCCTCTCCTCCTCTCCTCCTCCTCCTCCTCCTCCTCCCCTCCTCCCCCCTCCTCCTCCTCCTCCTCCTCCTCCTCCTCCTCCTCCTCCTCCCGAAGCTTCAGGGTGGTTGACTTTCTGAATACATGCGGCTCTCGCCGTAGCGCCGCGTACATATCGTCCGGCTCCAACGGCCACATGGATGGAGGGCAGGCCGCCGCCGCGTGCCGCTCTGAGCGTGCGCCGCCGTGCTGATTTCCCGCGCGCATCATTTCTCAGACAGCAGCAATTTTTGGAATGCGAATGGTTCTCAACATGTCAGTCGCATTAGCGCCGCGAACATGGAGCTCGGACTTGAGACTTTCTTGACGTATCTGCTAGGACGTGTCAAAGTGTGTAGCACTTCAAGGAACGAGGCTTGCATTTGAGTTCTGCTTGGGCTTTATGGCCTGACGTGTGATAATGTACAGCATATGTACGGATGGACGGCAGCGTCGTTTCAAAACGGGGTCTTCGCTGGACATTTCCTTGGACATTACAAGAGTACTTTCTGTGGTCGCTTCAAGGTTTGAGGGGGGTTTAGTCCCCCCTGCTCCCACCCCTCCTTCGCGGGAAGGGGGTGGAAGGGAGGCTACCTCCCCTTCGTGCAGGGAAGGGGGGGGTACCCACGTCTCGCTGGCAAGCGAGGGCGGCGAAGACGAAAACGACGACCGGCAGACGACGAAGACCCCACGGCGGGTGCGTCGTCGTCCTCGTTTGCCAGCGCAAAAGGGGGGGTTGTCGTCCTCCTCCTCCTCCTCCTCCTCCTCCTCCTCCTCCTCCTCCTCCTCCTCCTCCTCCTCCTCCTCCTCCTCCTCCTCCCCCCCTCCTCCTACCCCCTCCCCCTCCTCCTTCCTCCCCCTCCTTCCTCCGCCTCTTGCCGGGGGGCCTGGGGGGGGGGCTTAGGGGGCCGGGGGGGCACGGGGGAGGGGATGGGTTTTCGAGTTCGGAGACCACGCCCACGCCCGTGAAGCGCGCTTCCTCGATTGGAGGCTCCTACATCTTGGCGCTCATCGCTAGAGGGGTGGAGGGTGGTTCCTTTCCAAGACGGGGCTCGCGCCTCACCGGTGGACCCTCGGGGCGCTCATCTCTCAGGGGGGCGCTTCTCGCAGTGAAGGGGAATACCTGTGTGGACGGAATCTTTTATCGGAAGCTGCAATGAATCTTGTCGTCGGCAGTTCTTGCCGACGCACTCGCTGCAGAATGTTTCCCTCGACGCCATATTTTGCATGTTTTCCCGTTGCACCCAGAGGCGCGTAGTCAGAGGCATGCGAACCGCATGTGCCGTGGTACGCAGAGAGGAAGACGTACGAGTCATCATGGAGCCAGTGTGTCGCAGCATCATTGGCGTATCCTGGTATTCCTCGGGTCCCCACGTCTGCGTTGCAGAAATCTGACCATCAAGGGTAAGGCTCGCGTGTGGGTGCCTGCTGGCGCAGCTCCCCAGCAGCTCAGCCCGCTCCCCGCCCGCCCCCAGGAGCCCCGTCTCCGGAGGCCCCGGGAGGCCCCCCCCAGGGCACCCCGAAAAGCGCGCCGAAGCCTCCGCCTGCGATCCTCCCCAGCCCCCCCCAGGGCGGTAGCCCGTGCGAAGCCGCCCGTGCCGAGGACAGCCCCTCACCCCCATCCCCCAGCTGGGACCGCCACTCCCGACCTGGTGATCCCGGCCAGGGGTTGGGGGTGGGCTGTGCCGTCCCCACCAGCAGCCAGCAGCGTCGCCGCCGCCGCCGTCGCCGCAGCCACCCCGCGGCGTCGACCGTCGACCTCCTCGGCCGCCGCGGCGCCGCCGTCGCCGCCGAGGCGCGGCCGCCGCCGTCGTCGCCGCCGCCGTCGCTGCAGCCACCCCGCGGCGTCGACCGTCGACCTCCTCGGCCGCCGCGGCGCCGCCCTCGCCCTCCGCCCCTTCCCGCCCACCTCGCCCTCCGCTGGCGCGGAGGGCGCGCCCTGCGCGGCAGCGCCGCGGCCCAAGTTGGCGAGGGCGAGTCTCCGAGCGCGGGCGCACGCGGCCAGCACCGGGGATCTGCAGATTTTGGCCGCGTCCAGCAGGATTTCCGCGCAGATGCGCGCCCGCAGCGGAAAAAAGTCCCCCGCTTCCTCCGAGTGCGGCAGGCCTCGCGGCTTGGGGAGGTCCCCAGCCCGCGTCGCCTCCCAGGATGCTCGGGCGCAGGGCGAGTGCATAGCATCCTGGGCCAGGCTCCTGGCAGGAGGACGCGCAGATCGTACCAGTGTCACTTGAGGGTGCCCAGGGCCGTTTCGCAAACCTCCATCACCATTGCTGGGATCAGTCCTGAAACCCTGACGGTAGAATCGACGGGATGCGTGGGGGCCGAACGTTGATGATGGGAGGAGGAGGAGGAGGAGGAGGAGGAGGAGGAGGAGGAGGAGGAGGAGGAGGAGGAGGAGGAGGAGGAGGAGAAGGAGGAGGAGGAGGAGGAGGGGTATGGATACCATACGGGAAACCCATGCTTGTAACCGTCCGTAGCATCATTGTCAGAGAGAGAGAGAGAGAGAGAGCGCTGTGTGTGCATGCGTTTTCGTACACATAGTTCGACTTTGCACACGTAAAGCAGCCAAGATTTTCTGAAGCATTCAATGAGTGTACTGATCTCGAGATATGGTCGTCAATATGGTGTAGTGCGCTCCGTTGCTGTACGTTGCATTTCGCAATGCGTTGACGAGGTTACGTTTCTTTGCACGTCCTTGCGTTTCATTGTACAACATTGCATTAACTGTGTTCTGTATTTCCTGGCATTGCGATGCTCGGCATGTACGCGCAATGCACCGAATAGCATAGCATTTACCTTGCACTAGCTTTGCTCTCGCCCCGCATTACTTCGCGTTGCGGTTGAAACGATGCGAGGTAGATAAGCACGGTTGCTGCTTAGTGCATTGCGTTGCGTTGCATTCCAAAGTGAAGCAATCGAGACAATACGATCCATGGTACAACAGCGCAGAGAGCAGCGCAAAGCTTAGCAACACACAGCACATCAAGCAAACTGATGCAGCATGCTGCACCTGCAAAGCAAACCCATGCCCATGTGTAGCTTGGTGCTCCAAGCACGGCCAAGACGCCGAAAGCAGGACCGCTTTGGGCTCGGAAGGGTCTCGCTGTTCCTTCAGCCCTTCCGTCGCTGCTCCTCGAGCCCCCCCCTCGTGTACCCAGGCGCCCTTGGGGCCAACACAGAGGCTTCGTCGTCTTCTGGCAGCCCTTCTGGTAGTGCCTCTACTGTAGACGTCCCAGACATGCGACGTCTTGATTTTTTCAGTACGGGGTCCCTTGAAGTCCCGATCCTTTCTCCGGGACCGGTTTTTCATCTTGAGTCGTTGTTTGACGGTCCGAAGGCCCGGCGAGGGCCTCCCGAGGCAGAAAACGGCCCAGGACCTCCCGTCCTGATTTTTCCACGACGCGATCATGTCTGCGGTTCCTGCTGGTAGCATCTCGACTGCAGCCTTGTCCGATGGGTTTCCCTTGGCTCTGTGAAGAGCTGGTGCTCGCCTGGCCGATCTGCTGACACGGGCCCCTCGGCCTTCCTCTCGGCTCCCCCGGCCCTGCCCCTGGCCCCACCCTCCTCTAGCTCCCTGGTCTCGTTCTCCGGGCTCCCCAGGGAAGAAGACTAGGGAACTCGAGGAGCTCGATGAGCTCGAGGACCTCGAGGGAGGAACTCGAGCAACTCCAGCTCCTTCCTCGAGTTCCTCGAGTTCCTTCCGTGTACCGGCATTCCTCGGTTCGCCAGTTTTTCCTCGCGGTCTTTCTTATGCCATGCGAGGCAGTGCCAGGCAACGCC